AAAAAAGTATAAATATTTATTTAACTGTTAATAGAAGTAAATTTGAAAAAGTTTAATTTTTAATTAAAAATAACGAATAGTTTAGAATATTTCAATGTTAACTAATGAAAAATAGTAAAAGATGAATTATAATGTAGAAATGTTTCAATTGATGATAATTTACATGTTTAGTCCTTGAGAAATGATTAGAGAAGATCATGAAAACTCATGTATTTATAATTAATCAATCAGATAATTAAGTACTCAGACGATAAAATAGACACTATATATATATGGCATATTTTTTCGGTATAAAATAAATATAAATAAAATATAGAGATATGGAAAGAGTGTTGTAATGACTAACTTCTGTCAATTCCTTCTATTTTCAATAAGTACATGACATGTATGCTATCAATAACATGATACAAAAAAATAATTTGTCATTGTCTACAATTATTTTCCTCTATAACTTTTATACAAACTCGTTCCGTATGTTTCAGATCAATGATATATATATATATAATCATTGATTGTTGACTAGAAAATCAGAAAAATGAATATCATATTATATTTTCTTTGGAAAGTAATATGCATAAGTTTAAAACTATTTTTAAGCAATTAAAGTATCTAAAGGAATATGATTAATTGATGGTATTTTTTTATTTCTAAAAATTCCAAGTTAATCAAACAAAATATAACAAAAATTCTATTGTTCTTATTAAATAAACCACATGATTACTTTCTATAATTGAAATCTTAATAAATATTCATTGATTCATTTTGTAGAATTATCCTTGACATATGTAGTTATTGAAATATCTTTTCATTAATATATATATCACGAACAAATATCAAATGACTTCATTTGTAAAACTTCATGAAAACTCTTAAGTTGATTCAAAATATATATATATATATATATATCGAATAAGTCAAAGACATAAGGATAATTCTAAGTATTCATTTTAATTATTCATCAGTCATGTCATTTTCTTCTTCTTTCTTTTTTTTTACTGAAAAAAAAAACGTTTCCGATCAAAACTGCCGACAAGATAAAGTGAATGAAAAAAACATGAGTCAGTTAATTTTTTTATGTAATTGAAAAGTCATTATAAACTGCGAAAAAGAAAACTTAAAAAGACTCATTAATCAAAGTCAACATAAACAAGAAGATTATTTTGTCATTTCAATGCATAGAATATATTTGACAAGAGAATATTTTCTGATACTCCTTTAGATTGAATAGACACACATATATGAAGTACAAGGTCAGTCAATGTGTTTCTATAGAGGCGTGTATAATTTAAAGAAGAACTTATATTTTATTAGATTGAGCAATCGATAATAAATAACGAAAAGAAATAATGTTATTTTGTATTCACATCATTGATCGTATTTTTTTGTTATTCTTTGGGAAGTATCTTGGGATCGTATTTCATTATTAAAAAAGAATACATCTATCATTTAGAATAGTAAGAATAATTTATTCATATTTTTCTCATGATTAAATCGAAAATAACCTATTTATTGGATAGATTCATAATTTAAAATATAAAAATTTCAAGAATTTAATCATTTATAATATTAGAATTATTTTAATCTTATTGAATGACTCAGTTTGGTTTCAAATAAAATATTCTATTCTTTTCGTCACATGTCCATATCCTTCGAATTCTTATATGGAATTTTAATTGCAAAGAAATTTATCTAGCGCCATCTATACTTCAAAAAATTGTCAATATTTAATTAATTCTAATTGTAATTTAAAAACATTTGTTTTCTAATTGAAAAACATTTCAGAAATATAAATTATTGTTTGATTTTATCGAAAAAAAAGTAAATTTTGTTCTTTTTTATTGAGGTTATTGGTAGTTGTTAATGGTACCATCACAGTCAGTCGAAAAAATCAGACATACATACTCACAACAATGATCATCCGAGACAAAGAACATTAATAAGAATGTTTTCTCTCATCTTTATTTTAGATTATTTTATGGAGATTTTTTTAATTTTTGTTAATTTAAATTCATGTTATTATCAAATAGAAAATCGGTCTTAGAATAACTATTAATATTAACAATCTACATGTAGCATCAATCATATTTTTACAAAGAGAATGAAATAAATTATTATTTGAAAAGAGAATTTATTTTATTTATTTATTATCTAAAATTTAAACTAAAACAAAAATTCAATTAAAACAACTAATCATGGCAGATCTCGAAGCTGTATTAGCTGATGTTTCCTATTTAATGGCAATGGAAAAATCGAAATCAACTCCAGCTGCTTCAGCAAGTAAAAAAATTGTATTACCAGATCGAACGTAAAGAACAAATTTTTTGCTTTAACAAAAAAACTTTCAATATTATTTTAATTTAATTAAATAGAGTACGAAGTGTTACACATAAGCATTTACAAAAAATGTATGAAAATACATTTGAGAAAATATTTAATCAACAAATTGGTATGTTTTCACTTTTTCCCTTATGTTTTTTTTTTGATTAACTTTCAATAGAAGAAATAAACAAGAAAAAGTTTTTCCCCCTATCAATTATTTTTGCTTTTTTAGTTGAGTGACATTGTCTAATAATGATAGAACTAAACAGGCTTATTGCTTTACATTTGTATATCATTGTCATGTCTTTGATTGCAGTCAATATATTAAGCTTTTTCTTTTTCTTTCTGTTGATAATGTCAAGCCATTTTTATAAACATTTTTCTCTCTTTCTGTTTTGTTTTTCATTCATCCTTGTCATTATCTTGGTACCTGAAAAGATCACTTAGAATATATCTTTCTTTGTTCTTGTCATTGAGGTGATGGAATGAAAAGAATAAAAAAAAAAATTTATCAAAAGAATGAAAAATGTTCGACACGGACCGTCAATATTAGGATTAGTACTGTTATTGGTTCTATAATTTAATTGTCGGATCTATAAACAAGGATATGAGGACAAAGACAACGCGATAATTACATCAGATCGCTAGATTATTTCTTTTTTTTTTTTACTTTGTTCTTCTAATGAATCTGTTCTGTTTAGATCTTCATCTTGTTTTTCCTTTCCTCTCTTCCTGCACTCTCTTTTCCTCTTTCCTCTTTATGTAAAGCCGAAAGCAAAGGAGTGTCATCTACTCTCATGGCCCTCCGGTCTCTTCTTTCAGGTGATGATGGTGCAGTTCACAATAATTTTTTTTTCTATTCTCTTTTTTTTTCTTGTCTTGCACGCGTGTGCGTAAAATCCCTAAGGGGTTTGTCATGTAACGAGTAAATTTCTAACATGCAAACAATTTCTAAGATCAATTGAAAAACAAAATTAACAGATAAACATGGAAATTTTTTTTTGTCTTTTTTGCAGGATTTCTTCTTTTCAAAGAATTTAGTTCAAGTCTATGTGATGAACCTGTGCCTCAATTGAAATTCTATGAAGAGGTTTATATTTATTTCCTCTTTTCTTTTTATCTTGAATTCAAATAATCAATATTTAGATAAAACGATTTGAAAAACTTGAAACAGACGAAGAACGATGGCGTGTAGGAAAAGAAATTTATGATCAATTTATAATGAAAGAACTTCTTTCGAATTCTCATGTAATAAAAAAAAAGAAACACATATTTTATTAGATTTTATTTTATTTATTTTGATATCTTTAAAGACATATTCAGAACGAGCTGTTGAAAGTGTTAAAAAATATCTATCAAAGTATAATCCAAATAATCCAAAAAATACTTTACCATCAAATTTATTCGAACCATATAAAAAAGAAATATGTGATTTATTACGTGGAAGAATATTTGATAAATTTATGGAATCAGAAAAATATACCAGATTTTGTCAATGGAAAAATTTTGAACTTAATATTCAGGTTTATATTAATGATATTAATTTCAATATTTAAAATAATTCCTTTTTTTTTTGTCTTCGTAGTTAACAATGAATGATTTTAGTGTTCATAGAATCATTGGACGAGGTGGTTTCGGTGAAGTATATGGTTGTAGAAAAGCAGATACAGGAAAAATGTAAACAAATATATATTTAAATAAATAATTTTTATTTATTTTCTTTTTATTATAAAAAGGTATGCAATGAAATGTTTGGATAAAAAACGTATTAAAATGAAACAAGGTGAAACACTAGCATTGAATGAACGTATTATGCTTTCCCTTGTCAGCACAGGAGTATGTTATTAAATTTCTTTTTTTTATCTTTACTAGTTTTATTTTTATGGTTTCTTTCGTTGTCAAGGAGGAAGGTTGTCCATTTATTGTCTGTATGACATATGCATTTCATACAACAGATAAACTTTGTTTTATTCTCGATTTAATGAATGGTAAATTTTACTTCCTCTTTTTTTTTGTCATAGAATAGCTTTGTCTTTTTAAATTTAGGCGGTGATCTACATTATCATTTATCTCAACACGGTGTTTTTTCTGAAAAAGAAGTCAAATTTTATGCAGCAGAAATTACTTTAGGTTTAGAACATATGCATCTTAGATCAATTGTTTATCGAGATCTTAAAGTATGAAAGAAATCTTTTTTTTTAAATCATTTAAATTCTTTTTTCTTAAATAAAATTAGCCTGCAAATATTTTACTTGATGAACACGGCCATGTACGTATATCAGATTTGGGTTTAGCTTGCGATTTTTCCAAAAAAAAACCACATGCAAGCGTTGGTACACATGGTTATATGGCACCAGAAGTTTTAGCTAAAGGTGTTGCTTATGATTCAAGTGCAGATTGGTTTTCATTTGGTTGTATGATGTATAAATTACTGAAAGGACATAGTCCATTTCGACAACATAAGACAAAAGATAAACATGAAATAGATAAAATGACCATGACTATGGTATAAAATCTTTTTTTCATTTATTTTAATTATTTATTTATTTATTCTAGAATATTGAATTACCTGAAACAATGACAAATGAAATGCGTACATTATTAGAAGGATTACTTCAACGTGATGTTGATAAAAGACTTGGCTGTATGGGCAGATTGTAAATAATTGAATAAAATCAGAATTTTTCAAAATATTTTCATTTATTTTTGTTCTTGTAGAGCTGAAGAAGTAAAAGATCATCCATATTTTAAAGATATGGATTGGAAACAAGTTTATTTATTAAAATTAACTCCACCATTAATTCCACCACGTGGTGAAGTTAATGCAGCTGATGCATTTGATATTGGAAATTTTGATGAAGATGATACAAAAGGAATTAAAGTAAATAGAAAAACAAACAACAAGAAAATAATTCATTTATTTATTTATTTATTTTAGTTAACAGAATCTGATCAAGAATTATATAAAAATTTTCCAATTGTTATTTCGGAACGATGGCAACAAGAAATAACTGGTAAACAATATCACAAAAAATATATTTCTATCTAATTTATTTTATTTTATTTTATTTTAGAAACTGTATTTGATACAGTCAATCAAGAAACAGATAAAATCGAACAAAAACGAAGAACAAAATTTAA